AAATTATTTTTTTTGATTGAAGATGCTTTTTGTTTGATTGAATAATAAAAACACAAATTTACCTCCATACCATAGTCCTGTAAAGTTCTTGGTTCAAGAATAATAAATTGCTTTAGCCCCGCAGACATAAAGCCTATTGTTTGAACAGGTCACACCAGTTTTTTTGTAAAGAGTTTAGTGGATTTAACGATTGCAGAAACCACACCCTCACCTGTTGCGTTCAGGCTGCGGTGCTGCGCGAACAGGAACTGTCTGCGCGCTTTAATCTCTTTAATGCAGAAGAGGGGGAAATGGGAGAAAAAATGCCGAGCGAACTAGATCCAACGTCCAAGGACCAGGTAAGAAAGTCAACTATAACATGACTGAATATGGTGAAGTTTGAGAGAAAATGAAGGTACAAAGTCAAGATGTAGCTGTTGAAAGTGGAGACATGCACCAAGTGAAGTGTCGCTGTTAAATGAAACCGGAAAACACGAAAGTGTCTGTTTTTGGAAAAATAAATGTACCGTAGCGTTACAGAAGTTATCTCGGTGTATTTTAGGCTAGATAGGACATGTTCATAGAGTTATGTAACTTCTTATATAACAATATAGGACATGTCTAACAACAGAATCCGGAAGTTGATAAAATTCGTGGGGTTTAAAAAAAAGCAGCTCCGATTAGCAACGCAAAAAAGAAAAGAAAAAAAAAACCTGTCAAGTAACTAATGGCTGCATTCCATTCCTCTCCACCTGGCACCTATACCCGTGTGGTCCTCCATCACTGCAGGTACACGGTTCACTTGTGTCATATCAGAAACTTGTTCTGCTGTTACCCAGTTAGTAAGTGGTTTATAAAAAATGTAAAGAATTCATTCATTTTCCTGTCTGGGGCTGGGCAGCTTTGTTTTGACTCGTAGGGGTGTATACTAAGTTGAAACCTGAGCTGGATCTGCAGATCCTTGTGAGAAATGGCAGTCAGGTGTTTGGGTTCAGCATGACTTGTCAGTTGACATCAGGTATTCCTCTGAACCAGAGGCAGCCTCATTCTCTGTGCAGCGATTTACACACCCTGCAGCCTCATGCACAAAAGGGTAAGACTAGATTTAAACTCAAAAAGCCCGTGTGTAATTCAGTTTGTGAACATGTTGAAAATGTTTTCAGAGTTGGATCCCAAAGGTCTTCAAAAAACGAGTGTGCACCACCTTTGTGGAGGATTCTTTCAGGTATTGGTTGTGATGATTATTCTGTTGATGTTGTGATGTTAGCAGACGATCACTGAGCCTGTMATCCTTCCACCTCTGTCAGTAATGGAGCTCTGTGTCAGTGTGGAAATGCGAGAGATGCCCACACGTCTGTGGCTCTCGGGGACTTTTTCAGCACAGCCATGGTGAACCACTGGGACAGCGCCCAGCATTCATCTGAATACCCGACTGATGCCTTTGGAGAGGTGCAGTTTGCAGGAGCCAGCAAGAGACACAGCTATGTGAGAGCCCTTCTAAGAATCTGATAACTATTCTCTGAACTGGTTATTAAATGACTTAACTTTTATAGACTTGGGGTTATTAATCAACTTCTCGTTTGCTGATTCATAAATATTCTTATCTGAGCTTCAGCCCTAACAGTTTTTTTTTTTACTTGTAACATGACACTTGTTCAACCAAACGTCTAATTTGTCTGTCATGGGGAGCACAGTTCCTGCGTCTGTCAGGGAACACCTCACCGTCTCTGGTCTACACCATGATGACGACCCACTGGCATCTTCCTGCACCCAACCTGGTGGTTTCTGTTGTGGGAGGAGAAAACRGGGCAAAGGTGAAGACCTGGGTKCGGGAGGTTCTCAGGCAGGGACTTGTGAAAGCTTCACAAAGAGCAGGTAAACATGAAAGCAAACTGTCAGGGTTTTGTAAATGTTCCTGACTGTAGAAATGTTGTTTTGTGTTTATGGCTTTTTGTAATGTTTGCTCATCATTCAGTCCATACTTCACATCTTTTTTCAAAGTGATAAATACTACTAATTTGTATTTCAGCCTTCGCAGATCTGTTGTGTACCTTTTATGCATTTTGGCATTCACATAGATGCTACTTTGACAACTACCTGAATATTTTTGCAGACTAGAAAAAAACTCCCACATTGCAGCTGCATTCTTTTAGAGTAGCAAAAACYTTTTTAAAAGTTCTATTTTGATCAAGGTCAAAAGATAAAATATAAAATAAAACAATATTTCTGTTTCAGCAATTTAAAAGATGTGTTTAAAGGCACAGTGTGTAGGATTTTGTCARTTCTTTTAGCCAATATTGAGAATCACTAATGACAATAAAAAACATGTATAGCCATGTATTGCAGACAAAGACCTTGTTTTATTGTTTTTACCTTTTTATAAAAAGCTGTTTATATCTCCATGGTCGCAGGTCGCCAGTACAGGCAGCCGCCATCTTGCACCGCCATCTTGTCTACGAAGGCTCATGAAGGACAAACTGCGGTGGCGGCGTCAAAAATGGTTTTAGTTGTAATACTATAAATGTAATATTTGTTGTCTGTCAGCTAAGTTTACATGGACAAAAGTAATCGGATTAAACAGCCGTTCGGAATAAAAATGCATCATATTAACAGCCCATACCGATTATTCTGATCCGATTGAGTGCCATCCGAATGAATTTTTAATCCGAATGAAAAGRGTGGGTTATGCCGATTGATAATCGGAATGAGGTTTATGTAAACACTTAATCGGATCATCTTATTCTGATTGTAGAAAACTGACCTGTGCGCATATCTGCTGACTTTCATCCACCTGGTGGGACAGCAGCGCTCCAGCTGCGCAGCACCATCAGAACTTTTCCTCCTCGCTCTCTTAACAGATGAAAAAGGAGGCAAACAGCAGACGTTGCTTCGCAAAACGTAAAAATAAAAAGCACGTATTGCTTCATCTGCAGGCTGCAGCTCAACCGAGGAGTAAMGGCGTCTCTACCGTTATTAAAAGCTGACACGGGTCCGTCGTGAGGCACAGAGGAGCTTTGTTTACGTTTGTAACACGGAAGTAGAGCTGAACGTTTACAGCACTGCGCATGTCCGGACTTTTATTCTGAATAAAACTCCGGTGCATGTAAACACTTTTCATGATCGGATTGTGTCCATGTAAACAGTACATTCGGATTATTTAATCTCAATACATTTCAATTCGATTAAAAAAAATTTGTGCATGTAAACATAGCTGGTATAATTTTATTTATTAAAGCTCATAATCTTACCAYTTGAAACATCACTAGCCCTGAAGCTGCTGGTAGACATCGCGGTTGGAATTATCAAAGGTTTTTGACACCTGAGAGACACCGTAGCAACTCCTTTGCGTTTGGAAGCGGGAGGTGGAGGTGGGGGGAGGACCAGGGAGGATGATTCAACCACTCAACCACTAGATGTCGCTGAAAACAACAAATCCTACACACTGTGCCTTTAACATGCAATTAAAATAAGTAGCAAATAATTTTCCTTTTTTGTTTCTTGTATTGATCAGTAGATTTATTTTCTTTTCATTTTCTTTTTTCAGTATCTTCACTTGGATTTTTATTGCATTTTATATTTATTATAGACTTATTAGCAAACAGTACATATGGTATACATTTTACATAACTTTTTTGAGTTTAGTTTTAAAACGTGCAGCAGAAATCAACACAAATACATGCAAGCAATTCAAATAAGGATTAGAGAGAACTTTATTGTCATTGTACAGAGCACAATGAAAGTACAGTTCAGAACACCCATTCAGAAGAAGACAGAACAAACATGGGAGAACAGGTACTCTGGGTCATGCAGCCACAGACCCCATGCAGCACAGAGCAAGGATCATCTTCATGAAGACATCACGAGGAGGTGCTACCCTTAACAGAAAATCTAAAAACCACACAAGGGAAGATGAGGGAAAACAAACAAAAACACCATATTATATCAACAATGTGACACACTATGGTGTTTATAAAAAATACCTCTGCATAGAGCAGATGTATTTAGCCAGAGGAGTAAGTGAGTTTAAGGGGGCGTGTATCTGAAGCCATGAGTGTTGTATGCTTGTGTGAATATCTGAAGAATGAGCCAGAAGAATTGAGTCCTCAAAACCAGCACAGCCGTAGTTCAGAATTTGGATGTTAATTGTTCATTCTGTGCTGCCCTCAGCTTGCTCCAAGAACCGATCACAGATGGGGGGAGGTGTGGGGCAGAGCCTCAGTCGACATAATCCAACCAGGAAGAATTTAGTCAACAGATCAAGGCCGTTGTAGGGGAGAGCCAAATCTGTAATCAGTTGTTTTGGGAACAGAAGAGTCAGGCAGACGATAATAATTTTACATCTGCTTCAGTGTCGCTGGTACTTCTCAAGGTGGCGAATCCAAYCAGACAAATAGTGTGGACAATTCCGCCGAGCCGTGCTATCAGCTTCTCCAAGATAATTCCATCTCGCCAGCAAAGTCCAGGGACCACAGCCAGCCCACGACCCTCAATAGAACCACTTGCAGACCGAGTCCAGCTTGCTCAAGGCAAATGTCCGAGTGCTGATAGTTTGGCCATCCATCAAATTGGTCAGGCAGCCAGGAAATGAAAAGCCAACGACATTGTTTTATAGAACACTAGGAGACCACCAAGCCAAACTGTAGAATCCAGTGATCGGAATCCAGATATATCCAGAACAGAGGTCCCACCTTTGACATGTCCTCCCATGGAAGAAAAATACTTTGTTCCAAAAAATTTATTAGAGACCACCTAACCAAATCCATAAAAAAATCCATTATTTCTGGTTTCAGATGAAAAATGTAGAGAAGGCTCCAAGCAGCAAGGCAGGGGAGATAAGGAAGGGCAGGAGAGAAGGGAAAAGCGTCGTACTCCTCCGAGAGCGGAACAAAAAAAATGCATGACAGTATTTTTACTTTTTACGTGTGATGTATTTTTCATGTGCAGGAGCAGCATGGATCCTGACTGCAGGACTGCGGGAAGGTGTTGGGAGGTGTGTTGGTGAGGCAGTGAGAGATCATGCTGCTGCAGCTTCTTCAGACTCCAAAAACAGAGTGGTGTCACTGGGTGTTGCTTCATGGGGTCTGGTGCACAACCGACATCAACTCGTCGACCCTAAGGTACAGATAAAATGTATTATKTTTGCTTTTATTGTTTGTCTAACAACATCAGAAAAAAGAACCAGATTTGAAATGTTCGTATTGATAACATAGGTAAATATAGGTTTCATMGTTTGGTATTTAAAGTAAGATAAAAGTATGTTCTTCATTTGAAACAACTAATTTATTTATCCATTTTCTTTTCCTTTTGMAGGGCAGTTTTCCTGCTAAATATTACGTGCAGAACCCAACTCGGGATTCTTCCTGCCTGGACAACAACTACCAGGCCTTCCTGCTGGTGGATGATGGGAGTGTGGGCCGCCGAGGAGGGGAGACCGCCTTCAGAGCCAAACTGGAGCACTACATCTCCCATCAGCGCACAGGAATATGGGGTAAGAAATATTCGTACAAGTTTTTTTATTGTGTTTTTAAAGACTGCTTCTAATAAGCTGAGTACTTGTGTTGTGCACTCAAGTCTTGAATCCCTCTGGAATTAAACTTTTGACATGTCAGTGCATGTCTCTTGTGAGACATGTAAGTCATGCAAACATTTCTGTAACTGTGTTCTTACACTGTACTACAGGAAAAAAAAATATGCTTGTAGTAAATGTAATTTAAACTTTTTTTTACTCAGTAAAATTTTACAAATAAATTAGTATTTTTAAATATCCTACATTTCTTTTGTCCTTTGAACAGGCAGTGGCAACATTGACATTCCTGTCCTTTGCATGCTGATATCAGGGGAGACGAGCATGCTGGAGGTAGAGTCAACTTTTACCGGTTGACTGTTACAACAGGAAATGTTTATGTGAAATCTCGAACTTAATTCTACTTTTTATTGCCTTTTTCTTGTGGATATTCTACCTTCTGCCAGAGAGTGGATAATTCTCTGAAAAAGTCCATGCCCTGGTTGGTGTTGGCTGGCTCAGGAGGCGTCGCTGACTTCCTGAGTGACCTGTTGGAGAATTTGTCTTCAGCCCCAGTGTTCCAGTCTAGTGAGGGTGATGGCGAGGCTGGTCCCAGGGTGGATCTGAAAGAAAAAGTGACAGAACGAGTGAAGAAATATTTTTCTGATGAACCGGTTACAGATAAACTTGTTGAACAAGTGAGTCCCGTAGAATCAAAATGCACACTTTTATATAAAACACCAGAATTTCTACTCCTTCCTCATTCAGCTACAAGCCACATAAAAACTTAAAAACATAAATTTTCTCTGCTACTGAGTCCCCCTTACCAATTTTTTTAAATCAACATTGGCTGTCAATTGCAGCCCCTAGATTATTTTCAGAAATTTCAGCACTTTTCTGTGTCATGACTTCTGTATTCAGGCTCTAAGCATCTACCAAAACAAAGACTTGATTACAATCTATCATGGAGAGCAGGAGAGCCCAACTGACTTTGATATAGTACTGCTCAAAGCATTGGTAGGAGGTGAGAAAAACTGAATTTTGCACTTGTTTTTATGTGGTTAAACAGGAGTTTCCTTATTTTGATGTTCAGGTGTGAATGAATCCTTTTTTCTTCAGCAAGTAAGCATCGTGCCTCAACTGCAGACTGCCCTTACAATGAAGAGCTCAAGCTAGCTGTTGCTTGGAACAGGGTGGACATTGCTAAGAGCGAACTCTTCAATGGAGACATTCAATGGACGGTGAGGAGATAAAGATGACAATCAGAAGTTGATGCATTTTATAAAAGAAATACTTTGTTACAGTTGCCAGAAATAAAGCAGCAAATCCCTGCTAAACTAAACCACTTTTGGAGTTAAAGTTTTCCTGACTAAAAACAAATTGTCATCTATTCAAATAGTATGAGGACTTGGAAGAATCCATGACGGATGTCCTGATCAATGACAAGCCCCAGTTTGTTCGTCTTTTCACTGAGAATGGCTTGAACATCCTGGACTACCTGACTTATGGCAGACTGGAGCAGCTCTATGGCTCTGTGGCTGAGGGCACACAGTTATACCATCTGCTTCAGCGCTGCTTAGTGATGCGTGTTGGAACTACACCTTTGCTTACAGCACCTCCACCTGATTATTTACCAGAATCACAATCCAAATTATTAACAGAGAACCCTCCAAGTGAACCAGGATCTGAGGTCACCCTTTTTGAGGTGAGTTGATCTTTGATACACTCCTGATCAAAATCTTAAGACCAGTTAAAAAAGTGTAAGAATTTGCATTTTGCACTATTGGATCTTAAGAAGGTTCTAAGTAGAGCTTCACAATGTTAAAAGAAGAAATCARTGCAAGAGACAAGAACTTTTGAGCAGGGAATTTTCTGAAAACTGCATTTACACTCAAACATGATTTTTTCAGCTGATGAAAAGTTTAAGACCATAGCTCAAAAAAAACCTGAAAACCCCCCAAAACAGAAATCAAAGTGTCAAAAAAAGGACTCAGTAATGAGTAGCTCCACCATTCTTGTTGATGACTTCAAACAATGGTTTAGGCTTGATGCCAGTATTTCCAGGAGGCTAGTTGGAACGTTGCTCCAAGTGTTGAAGATGGCTTCACGAAGGGCATCCACTGTCTGGAACTGATGTCCATTTTTGTAAACTTCCCTTGCCATCCATCCCCAAATGTTCTCAGTTGGGTTTAGATCCGGGGAACATGCAGGATGGTCCAAAAGAGTGATGTTATTCTCTTGGAAGAACTCCTTTGTCAGGCGGGCATTGTTAACTGCAGCATTGTCCTGTTGAAAAACCCAATCATTACCACACAGACGAGGGCCCTCAGTCATGAGGGATGCCCGCTGCAACATCTCCACATAGCCAGCTGCTGTTTGAYGCCCCTGCACAACCTGAAGCTCCATTGTTCCATTGAAGGAAAACACACCCCAAATCATGATGGGCCCCCACCACTGTGCCGTGTAGAAAACATCTCAGGTGGGATCTCCTTGTCATGCCAGTAACGTTGGAAGCCATCAGGACCATCAAGGTTAAATTTTTTCTCATCAGAGAAGACAACTTTCTTCCACCTTTCAATGTCCCATGTTTGGTGCACCCTTGCAAAGTCCAAACGGGCAATTTTGTGGCGTTGAAGAAGACGTGGCCTTTGAAGACATTTTTTGTTTCTGAAGCCCTTCTCTCGCAGATGCCGTCTGATGGTTACTGGGCTGCAGCCAGCACCAGTAATGGCCTTAATTTGGGTAGAGGATCGTCCCGTGTCTTGATGGACAGCCAATCGGATCCTGCGGCTCAGAGCTGGTGAAATTTTTTCGGGTCTACCACTTGACTTTTTTGTTCCATAACCCTCAGGATCATTTAAAAAATGCAAAATGACTGTCTTACTGCGTCCAACTTCAGCAGCGATGGCACGTTGTGAGAGGCCTTGCTTATGCAGCTCAACAATCCTACCACGTTCAAAGTCAGTGAGCTTTTTTGCTTTTGCCATCAGGAGGTCTTGACAGTGTAAAGACTTGACAGAAAATGACATGGAATCCAGATTTTTGCACAGCTTTTGGCTTTTAAAGACTATGGTCTTAAACTTTTGATCAGCTGAAAAAAATCATGTTTGAGTGTAAATGCAGTTTTCAGAAAATTCCCTGCTCAAAMKTTCTTGTCTCTTGYACKGATTTCTTCTTTTRACATTGTGAAGCTCTGCTTAGAACCTTCCTAAGATCCAATAGTGCAAAATTCAAATTCTTGCACTTTTTTGACTGGTCTTAAGATTTTGATCAGGAGTGTACTTATTTGAAATAATGCGAGGGGAAAAACTCCCATTGACAAAGCTTCTTGAAATGTTTTGTCAGATTTCAGGTGTTTTGGAAATATTATTGGGGGATGTTTGCCAGCGGTTCTACTATGACGTTTTTGACTTACAGGATGTCTCGTCCCGAAGGATTACTTTWAGGGTATGGTTTATTTGTATCAACAGTATGTTGTGAGGTGGCAAAAGTAAAGTTTTATCCCATCAGACGGTCTCATTAGTTTAACATCAATTTCTTCTTTTGCTTTTCCATTCAACCCAGTCTGTAAGTAAGCGTCTGAATGGAGACTGCCCATATCGAGCGAGGCGATGCCTCTCTCCCTGGGCTTCACTTTTCATCTGGGCTGTTCTACAGAACCGCAGTGAGATGGCCACTTTCTTCTGGGAGATGGTAAAATTTCAGACAGCAAACAAGAATATATGCTGCTCAGACCTTGTAAAGCTTGTATTGTCATTAATGGATTAAAGAGATGAGCATTTTTAAATTGTCACAAGATAGAGCTAAGTGACTGATGGTTGGAAATGTTTACTGAAACACATCATGAATGTAATTACTCCAGTAAAGTGAATATCAGAATTACACTTTTAGGTGTTAATTAACACCTGCTAAACCCATGTGACTGTGCTGAAACCTTTTAGATTATTTTGTCAATCAGCTTCACTTTCCTTTTCATGGTTTTTCTCAGGCAGGAGAGTCAGTGCTGAGCGCTCTAAGTGGTTGTAAGATCCTGCGAGAGCTGTCCAGACTGGAGGCTGAAACTGAAACTAAACTCTCCATGAAGGAACTGGCCCAGAAGTTTGAAAATCTGGCCCTGGGTGAGACCATGAATCCAACTTCATACTGCTGTTCAGCTGGTGATTATACAGTGGAAAATGTGGAAAACCAAGAATTAGTTTCCTATCTGCATTAAGAACTCTATATATCAAAATATTAAAATGCATTTTTTTGTTTAAACATTTTTTTAATTTAAAATTTTTATTATTTGAAGAAAGCTGTACAAACATTTCCATGCAATAGTTGTGATTTACTTTTGTAAAAAATAGAAAAAACTTGAAGGTAGCACAAGTCATCATGTAGCTTCTAAGAGTTTACATCAAATGTTTTAATTCCATAAAACTGTGTTTGATATAAATATTTTTCTTATTTAAGATTGGCTTTAGATGTAGATAATTACATTTTATTTGCTAAAGGTTTGTTGCCTTGGAACTATTTCTCCCATGAATTTTGTTTCTTTGCTTTACCTCAGATATCTTCAGCTCTTGCTATCGCAGCGATGAAAGTCGTTCCTTCAAGCTTTTGATCAGGAAATCTCCTGTTTGGGGCGGTACCACCTGCCTACAGATGGGCATGAGTGCTGATGCCCGACATTTCTTCAGCCATGATGGAGTACAGGTTTGTCATAGTTTCACATTTGTAACCGTGTTTGATAACAGTGGAAAAAACATTTTGTGTGTCTCAGTGTTCGAGGTTCAGTTCAACAAATGTGAAATAATTTGTTTAACTGAAGCTCAGACAAGAAGGTTGATGGTTGAAAAGGAAAAGATCTCAAGTCAGTTCTGTTGGGGCCAAAGTTTCTCATTGACAGTGTTTTATAAAGTAACACAAAATGATACTTGAGTAAAAGTACAAGTATCTTACCAAAAAATTACTTTGGTAAATTTTGGTAAAAGTTAAAGTCTCCTTTAGGATTATTACTTGAGTAAAAGTCTTAAAGTATCTGATATATTTTGTACTTAAGTATTAAAAGTGTTAAGATCGGTGCAGGAACAGACCAGGGCGCAGGCAAGCTAAAAAAAAATGGAACAAAGGGTTTATTTAATAAAACAAAAAGACTGACGAAGCAGCTCTAAATACTC